CACCCAAGAAACAACCCAAGTGAAAAATGGGCAAAAGACCTGGACATTTCTCCAAAGAAATACAAATGGCCAACAGGCATATAAAAACATGCTCCACATCACTAATTATCAGGGAAACACAAATCCAAACCACAATGAGATATCACCTCACACCAGTTAGAATGGCCACTATCCAAAAGACAAGAAATAACAAGGAAGCAGAGAAATGGGAACCCCTCTACACTGTTGGTGGGAATTTAAATTGGTACAACCACTGTGGAAAGCAATATGGAGGTTCATCAAAGAACTAAAATAGAAATACAGTTTGATCCCATAATTCCACTTCTAGGAATTTACCTGAAGAAAACAAAATCCCTGATTTGAAAGGATATATGCACCCCATGTTTATCGTCGCACTATGTAATAGCCAATACGGAAGCAGCCTAAGTGTCGATCAATAGATGAATGGATAAAGAAGATGTGGTATGTATGCACAATAAAATATTATTCTGCCATAAAAAGAAAAATCCTGCATTTGCAACAACATAGATGGATCTAGAGGGTATTACATTTGGTGAAATAAGCCAGGCAGAGAAAGGCAAATACCATATGATTTCACTTATTTGTGGAGTATAAAAACAAAGCAAAACAGAAGGAACCAAACAGCAAGGCTCACAGACACTGAGAACTGACAAGTGGCTACCAAGGGAGAGGGGTTCAGGTGAGAATGGGGAGAGTGAGGGGGATAAAGGGGCACAATAATTCACAATCACAGTATAAGCTGGCCATGAAGATGGTAGTATAGTATGGAGAATATAGTCGATAGAAATTCTGTAACATTTTTCTGCATTGATAGATAGTAAGTACACTAGGAGGGGTGAAGATTTAATAATATGGGTAACTGCTGAACCACTGTGTTGTACATTTCAAACCAGTATAAGATTGTGTATCAATGATACTTTGATTTTTAAAAAGGTGCTTGTATTATAAATTTTCTTCACAAGAACAGAAATGCAGCCCTAAAGCAATCCAAAGTTCACCTCTTCTTTTTTTTTTTAACCAATCCCAAACCACCCCTTTCAGTCTCAGAAGGCATGTAGTATACCTAAAAATAGGGACTTAAAAAAACAAGTCTTCCTTGGTGGAGCTTGTGTTCTTTCTCTTCCTTTTGAGATGCAGATATTCTAACTGGTATTCTCTGTGTAATTCTTATCAGAAAAAAAGGAAAGGCTACTGAGTATTAGGCCCATGAAAAATCTTTAAAATGATCTCCACAAGCATTGGTGAAAAGTTTAAGCCATCTAAGCAGGTAACCTTAACTTATTGCATCTGCCAGAAACCAATTTGGATCCAACTGTTTTCATTAACTATTGAGTTTTGCATTGTCATGCCTGTCCTATGGCTAAAATTTTTAAATGAAAGTTACAAGATCTGTTTGCATATATCTGTATGTTTATGTATGTCTGTGTTTGTGTATATAACAAATATATGACTTCTTTTCTAACTCTGGATGGTATTGCCAAAATCAATTTGTAAAGATCTCTATTTAATTGGCTTAGAGACAAACAAGTGTTACATATTTATATAAATCAAGTATACTCTCAGATATATAGAAACTCATCCAAATGTTTTTCAAGTTCACATCATCCAGGATAATCTTTACTAAATAAAAGCCAATTTAAGTTTGTTTAATTAAAACAATTATGTCTCTAGAGTTACCAGCATTAAATATAATGTGGACATAAAACTTAATCTGCCTAGGTGTACTAGAAGAGTTAAGTAGGCTGATGTTATCACTGTTACACAGCTTGTCAGCAGAAAGAGAACTTAAGATGATAGCTGTTTAACGTCTCTTAAAATATATCCCTGACTAAACATAATTATTAACAAGTGAATGAAATAGATGTAAGACAAAGGTTTATAAGTGAACTTTTCAACAATAATTATGCTGTTTTGGTATGTCTACTTAAAAATAGTTTCCAAAATCTTTTTGATATATTGAAACCTTAAAGTTATACTGAGATACTTTAGATATTCATAGAATATCTAGATTATTTCCAATTACAGAAAAACTAAAGATACTTGGATTATTAGTAAAAATATTTTGTGCCACATTGGAAAATTTACTATGAGGAAGAATATGCTTCTAGAAATTATGAAATGTATAAACTGGCCAAGCCACAGAATGCTAGTATTAACAATCCACAATCACTTACTTCTTAGTTTTCACTAGGAATTAAGGACTCTAAGGGTTAAGAATTATAGTCAATATATGTAATTAAATTTGCTTAGAAATAGTAAGAGTGAAAAGAAGCAACTGTGTATGAAAAGTAGGTAAGGCAAGTTAAATGATTCAGTTCCAGAATGAGGAAGAGGAAAAACATAGGACAAAACCTGCATGGATATAAAAAAGTTGTTAGGTTTATGGAAAGGAGTCTTGGGAAAGGAATTCTATGTGTGGTGAAAGTGGCTAAGATTTGAATGATCTTATGTAAGTTTCATTAAAAATGAGTTCTATCAAAATTACACTGGTGCAAAATTAAAATTTAGTTTTCTGTTATAAGGACAATTTTCTTAGATTTTTTGTCTGCTATTAATAAGAAATTGTAAACAAAGGTTTGGGGTGTTTTCTTTTTTTAACCTTTTACGGTAATCTGTCTGGACAGCAAAGATTTTGTGTCTTACCAAAATAACATACTGTGCTTAATGTTGTACAGGTCTTTGATTACTTAAGAAACCCATTCTTCTTGATATTAAGAGAGCTAACTTTTGTTCACACTTACATAACCTTATGTTTGCCTTTAACATCCTACTGTCACATGGTTATATAGCCAAGTAGTATTTCATAATGATCTGTGACCCTCTTTAATCAAATGTTCAAACCTTTTGACATTTTTCTCAAAGTGATGATCAAGCTTTCTTAAGTTATATGTGTTTGGATATAAGTTACTAAAAAGGTATTCCAGAAATGGAAGTTTCTACAGATTTGTCAACTTATTGTCCAGAAATTATCCTGATTGCATATTACACTAATAACTACATTTCCTTATCAAATGAACTCACACAGATCTTTAACCAAGGGCAGTAAGTCTTTTGTCATCCACCAACAGTTGCTTTAATCATGCTTTTGCAGAAGTGAGATTCATGGAAAGGTCTCTATCAAGTACTTTTGACAACTGACACCACTGACAAATTACAAGATGTTGAACCACAGGTACCTATTTCACAGCTGAAAAAGGCTCCATCTGACATCCACCTGTGCTAATGCTAGAGACTCAAAATCAAATTGATTAGGAAGAAAAGTAGCTGGCATCAAGGTAGACTTTCTCTCAAAATGCCAAAACAAGAACATTTCTTTCCATTCCTCCTTCCCTGACTATTCTTTTCCTAATTCTTATCCATGAAGGTCTTAAAGGTTTTTTTATTCACCTTTAGTCTTGCTCTGGCCTGGAAAATACCACTGTTTATTTATTTGAGACCATTGCTGAGGGGAGGGGGAATCCAAACTCCAAACAACTGTTGGATTTGCCATAATGCTGATGATCCAGTAATTCTATCACAAACTTCTCAGGAACAAACTCAGCCCTCTATCATGTCAGGCTTCCTAACCCTGGGGGTCTGTCTCCCCATGTCTAGTTAGCAACCCCAAACCTGGAGAACCTTTGCATCTTCTGTGCAAAGAAAGGGACACAAGGCAAGGGCAACCCAAATAAAACCACCTGTGTAGTCTAAAGATCCTGACTTTTGCTGGCCTCTATGGCCATCACTTTTCCAGTCCTGAGCTAGATTCAAAATTACCAGGAGATATTCATGATTCAAAATTCACTTTCTTCAATAGATCCCTATTCCCCTAAACTAGCAGTAAGTGCAAATGAGGCTATGATGAGAAACATCTCCTTAACTCTTGAAAATATTGCAGAATCTGCTGCTAAAGCAATAGCTGTCCAACAAAAGAAATTCCTTAACTCCCTGGCCTAAGTTGTTCTTGACAATAGGATAACCCTTCATTATCTTTTAGCCAAGTAAGGTGTTTGTGCCAACACCATTTGCTGCACTTTGATTGACTCTTCTGGGGACGTTGAGACTCAGCAACATAAATGAAGAAACCCATTGGCTTCAGAAAGTGACTCCTTCAACAGGGTCTGTCCTTGCTGATTGATTTGAGTCTTGGGGATGATAGCTCTGATGTGCATTCCAGACATTGGCAGTTATCCTGCCTAGATTCATAGTAGTATCCTTCATGCACCGAGTTCTCAAAAGCTTTAAATGCATGTTTGTGGCCACTAACCACCAAGCAAATGATCTCCCTGAGAATATAACATCAGAAAAAGAACAAAGAGAACGACCAGCTTAAAGAATGTGAACCTGACATTATGACCCGTGAATGCCATGCAGAGTCAGCAAAAACTGCAAGAGCAGTCACTGGGAGGAGTGCTAATTCCTTAGATTTTGACCACATCTCTCAGGCTGTGCTGATCAAAAGGAGCGTATTGTTAAAAACAAGACCATAGGCCCCAAATGGAGTTGCCTATGGTAAGCCTCAAGTCAACCAAACAGACTTACTAGTTTCAGCTCTTCTCCGTAAATGTAATCTTGAAGCCAACCAGGAATTGCCAAATCCACACAAGTTAGTGCTGCCATCACCTAAAGGAAAGTATCTGCAATAACCAACCTGCTCTTTCACCAAGCTGGGCCAGCTGCCTTGTGGATCATGATAGAAGGGCAAAGCTCATTTTGCACTCAAACCAGGACACTGCTCACACAAGCAGCTGCAGATCCAAGCCCAGTCAGCTGGGTTGTGTGAACATGTTCACTTGGGGTCTCAAGCACCTGTTTGGGGATGGACGGGAGAGCCACTGCATACCCCAGTAACCAGCAGTGGGCATCGACTCTCCCTAGGGGAGAAACACAAAGTGAGTTAAAACACAATTTGTTCACTCTTGGACCTTAAAGAAATGTTAAGTCAACTCCTTGCCAGCCACAAGACATCAATTATTTCAAAGAATGTGTACAAAACACAATTTTTTTTTCCTCAAATGGCTGTTGAATTTATTTCCTTGATCAATAATGTTCCTGGCAAAAATTAGTTAATCAACGCTGAGACATTGTAATGAAATACTAATTTAAAAAATCCATGACACCTTGATAGAAATTAGAGTTTACACAAAAAAGAAACCTTCAATATTGCCAGCAAATATAAAATGCATGTAATATGACAGGACAGCAAGAAGGCTTTTATACATTTATATTTGACACCTGACCATATTTTCAGTCACCATAATATCTTCTCTCCAGATTTAAAAAAATAGTATGCTGATTTCTATAACAAAGCTTTTTTTTGTACAAAAATCAAACAATGGCCAAAAAGTCACAACAGTGCAATAGGTAGAGAATAAAAAACTGCATCAAACAGGTGCTGAAAATAAATACTAACGAGGAGAAGGAGAGGACAGAGCCCTCATGTGGGGGGTTTGTTTCCATCACCTTGAGCGTGTGGGATTTGTCTTCATGGCCATGAGAGCTGACCTACCTCACGGGTGCCACTTACTTAGAACAGAGCACAACTAAACACAGGTGCCAAGCCCGCCTCCCAGACATTTTAGGTCACCAGAGAAGTGGTGGAAGCAAGAAAACTGGGTGGGGGATCACAGGTATCCTTAAATATTTTTTTCTATTGCTCAATCATGTCAATTGGGAGTCATCAGCAGATTCACTGAAACAATATGGACAACTGGAAATTTCTAAGAGCATATATATGGCTTATTCAGGCAAAGAGACATTTACATTCTAGCCCAAGCAAGCAATTTAAATCATTCTTTTTTTAATGGAAAGTCAGTCACATAGAAGATTCCTGGTTTGAAAAAGAGATCCTCTGCATGGATGTCTTAGGTCAAGGCAGCTACCTTCAACCAGCCCAGGTTAAAAGCATTTGCTGATGACCAGCAGCAAGGAGCTGGAAGGAGCAGCCACACAGCTCCAGGGCTGGAGGGGGCTCCACAGGCAGCTCTGTCTGCAACTACCAAGGCCATCCTGGTGACTCAGGCTCATGGACTGTGGTCAAGGGCTGTCAAAGGAGAAGGTGATGAGGGTAGGTAAGGTAACCCCGTAAGTGCCATTCTGGCCAATCAGGAAATACAAGGCAGCTTCCCATTATATAATCTGCACCAAAAAGGTGTAAAAGGCACAAGCAAGAGTGACTAGGTAAGCAGAGACCCTGGAGGGTGACACTGTGGGGCCATCCACAAGGCAGGAACAGTATATACCTTGTTTGGATCCTCCCCTCCCCAAAAGGGAGAAAGAGATCCCAATTCTGCCATAATAAAAAAGCAAAGAAAGACAATTTTTGGTTTAAAAAGAAGCCACTCAAGGGTTAAAATAGTTATTTTAAGTTAACAAAGAAAATTAATCTTTAAATAAGCTGACACTATCTGGAAGTCATCTGTCTCCTACAAGCCCATAATGCGTCCACTGCTTTGTCCTCCTGTGTAACCTGAGCCTGACACGGAGAAGTCATACATATGAAAGAAGGAAGAGTCTGAGAAGAAAAGACATCTTTACAGAATGTACAGCAGAGTTGTGCCTCTTGGTATTACAGTAAGATGCACAGGTCTTATTAGGCCTGGGGGATCCATGACCCAGGGCTGCTCAGATGGGCGTCTCCTTCCTGTCTCTGCTTGGCGATGGCTTGGCCTGCTCCTTGCCTGCTTTTGGCAGCTCTTTAGCTGCTTTTGTCTCCAGGGCACTGTCTCTGGGTGGCTGGACAGCACCCCCGCGCCTCTCGGGCTCGTCATCATCCTGCGCCTGTGGCTCAGGCCTGGCTCGCTGCAGCTGGAGCAGGCGTAGCTGCACACGCAGTTCGATGATGGCCTCTCGCTCTTCATGAATTGCTTGATTCAAATGATTGTTCTTTATCTTGAGGAATGACAGAAAGAACAGTTGTCATTTAAGCAAGAAGGTCAGAAAGATGATGACTCAGGAGCAGAGAACAGTTAGCATGGATATCCTACATGAGAATCTACTTTCGCTTTAGTCAACTTAGTTGTGAAATAGAAGACATGAACCTCATGAATATGCAAATGAAGTACACAAACCACCTTGATCCAGAATGGACAAAATTCAAGAATATAAATTCTGTTTCTAATTACAAAAGAGCAAATACATCTGGAAAACAATAAGTGTACCAACAGAAAATAGTTTAATATTAAATATTCTAGTGTTTATAAGAGATACACTTTGTTTTTTAAGAGACTGCTGACCCCTTAAATAAGGGGAACAAAAGTGACTTTAGCAATTAGAGGGAAGGAGTAAGATAAAATCCTAGATTTGTCTCAAAAGTGAATGTCTTTTCTCTTTTCTGAATGGCATTACTTTACATCTAAACTACTTACTCAACTATGGAAAGTGATCAGTTATAAATTACCTGTACTCATTCAGCAAAGTTGAGGTAATGTAACACAGTAGCAAACCCCAAACTCCCAGTGACCTCCCTCATGGCAAGCTGACGGCTGCACAGCACACCCTCTTCCTCTAAACCATGGCATTTCCATGCAACCTGAATTTCCCAGCCTCCCTTGCAGCTAGCTTTGGCCATGTGACTGAGCTGTTGTTACCAGGGTATGAGCAGAAGCACTAGGTTCCACTTGTGCATCTTTGCCTTTGATAACTAGGCATTCCTGCTGATTCAGAGTGGGTGAGACTTAGAGCGGACCCCAAGTAGAAAAAAATCTCAGTGGAAGATGGCAGACCTGGCTATCTGCCAGATAAATGACATCTTGTTTTTTATATATATATACATATATATATATATAAATATTCTACTGTAATTACAGAATTATGTTTTTCTACTGCTCAGGATTTTAATATGATCTGTAAAATGTTAAGAAAGCAGAATTAGGTGCCAGTGTGAGACTTTCTCAAGAATGGAAGAATGGCTCACTGCAGCTGGAGCAAGGGAGATGCACACAGAGTCTGATGACAGCTCAGCTCCCAACCACTGTTTTGCCTCTCCCACAGCACAGCCATGGTTGTGCCGATGTCTTGAACCCTGAGCCTTGGTGGGGTTCAGCTTCTCTGAACTGTGTCCACAGGTTGCTGGAGAGAGGACTCTGTGGGTGGTGGTTTTGAGTGGAATCTTTTGGTTTTCTATGTGGTGGGTAGCTCTGGTTTGCCCTAGCAACTGAACATACCTGAATAAGGGAAACAAAGCTGTCCCAACATCCCTCAACTCCTTTTTAAGAAAAGAATGGCTTCTCTCTCTCAACCCTTAGGTAAACCATTTGGAGATGATGTTTTATTTGGAATAAGATGGGAAATTCTGATCAAGATCATTTAAATCTGTTGCATTCTTTTTACTGTGCAGTTGTTTCCTTGTTTCCTAGTGCCGAGTTTACTCTCATCTATGGTTTTACATGTTAAGGGCCAAGAGAAAATTTTGTCCCTCATTGACACACAGGAAGATTCAGGACACCTTCTTCTTTACTAGCACTTCTTTTTCTGAGAACACAGACCAGGTCATCAATGTTGCTTAAACCAGCACAGTTAGGTGAGGCTCACTGTTAAGAGGGGAGAACGTCTGCAGTACTCAATGTCAGGAGAGATCACCTAAATTTAGTGAGGCTCATGCTCTTTAGTAAGACATCCCCTAAATTCCTCTCAGCCTCCCTAGCTGGTTGTGAAGGAGGAAAAGAAAACTCGTAAGGGGAAATAAGTGGTCTCTCCACCTTTCCAGAAGTCAGTGTGGTCCTTGGTGGGTGCCCACACTCACCTCCAGCTCCTCATTCTGTCTCTGCAGGTCCTCCAGGATGATCTGAAGCTCCTCCTCATCCTCACTCTCGCTTTCACTCTCAGAAGAGTACTCCTCCGTCTCACTCCGGCCGTGCTGCTGGCGGCTGCATGGGTGAGACACAAGGAAAGAGATGACACACAGCCACACACACAACAACTGCCTCGCTGCACCTCCCTTCTTTTAGATTTGCCAGGCTTTCATGAGTCTGCTTAATTAACACCATTCTAAAACTGAAAGATGATTAATTTAAGATACCTAATTCTTATATATGAAAGTCTGAAAGCTGAAACAATTATGCTTATATTTAAGTAAACATTCTTGGAAACTTTAAAATCCTTAGCTTTTCTTTACCTCTGAATTTCAGCAATCTCAGCTCTGAGGCGTTCAATCTCCTCTTTTTCTGAGGCAATCTGTCGCCGCAGAAACTGCTCCATGGCTAGAAGCTCTTCCTGTTCAGTCAGGATCTCATTCTCCTAAAATAATGATCATTGGTAAACTAGAGTTTGAGTCTAGGAAATGCCACCTTTCTGGGGTCTCCTATGTTGCCCTAAATTCTTTAGCCCCATACATGTAACACCTAAGTTATGGGAAAGCTTGTGCTGTAAAACCAAAAAGTATCCTGTTTCCTTAATGTCAAGAAAAGCCTTCTTTGAGAAAAACTAAACTGAGTTATTGGAGAGGAATGACTAGATTTTTCTCAAGACATAAAATGCCACCTAGGAATCCCATGTCCTTCTTTTGTAAAGGTTCCTATGAAGCTACAACACTGGGCACAAAGACAAAGTTTAGGTGACTAAGTCTGCTTTTGCTTCCGAGTCTTTTTTGAAAGCCTTCCCACTTCTCAGTAAAGAGAGTATCTATTTTAGGGCCAAGGTGGCCTTCAATAATGTCACCAGGAAAAAAAAGGACTCAGGAGATGTGCAGCTGGTGTTAGCAGTACCTTAAAGCAGATCTAGTGAAGAAAAGATGTTCACAGAAGAAAATTTCTCTCCTTACCACAAGCCACCATCCTCTTCAACCCAGGTTCCCAGAGATAATATTTAAACAGTAAATATTCTGCTTTCACAGAATATGCATTTCTAAAACTAGTTAGATCACCAATGGGGAAAATCTCTATCTGCCCAAATTCTAGCTAGACCCTCCCCTCCAACTAGAGAAAAGAAGCAAAGCAGAGAAACTTAGGAGGTAACAGAGATTTGTAAGGCTCTGAAAATAAGGAGCTGGAGGCAGGTGAAGGTCTGTGGCATTTCTTTCCAAGCAAACAGGTAAGCAGAGGATGAGTGCTTGCAATCAAATTTGAAAGACACCATGGTCAAGTCCTAAAGTGAACTATGCAAAGCCTCCACCATGCATAAAAATGTCTCTCAGAGGTGTAATATACAGTATTCCCTAAGTGTCTCTAAACACAGAGATGCTTCCCTTCACCTCAGCATACCTATGAAAGCTAATGTTCCAATAACTATCAGATTGAAAAAACTCTGAGATAAAGACATAATTCATTCTCTCTTCATGGGAAAGGCATTCTGTCTCCCTGCTAGGCAAAACCATGTATTTTTCCAGAGGTGACAGAAAAGAACTGAAACTTTCAAGGCATTAAGTATCCCACAGTGGATACTTCTGATGTTGTTAGAGCCTAGAACTTCATTTGTGTCTGGTTAAGCTCTGGGAATCTCCAGAACAAGTAAGGGTGAAGAGACATTCAGAAGAAAGAAAAGAGTTCAACTTCAGCTCTATGACTGGAATACAGTAGAACTAAAGAACTACATGTCAAGTTAATGAATAAATAATAAAATAATCTCCAACAACTGACTTTCACCCACAAAGAATAAAATCAAAATATCTAAAAGGTGTTTCAACAACTATCACTTAAAATCTGTACCATTTCAAGGATCCCAAACTTTGTGACCAGCAAGAACATGTCTTAAAATATTAAAGTCCCATCTCATTAATATGGAAAAACACCACTAATCTGTAAATGAGGGGAAATACCTATTAACTCAGATCTGTGCGTAGATGATGTGAAATTAAGCAACGCGTCTAGAATAAAATGAGACTAAGTAGTGCATCTGTCCAGTAAAAAGCAATGAATAAGGAAAAGATCGTTTCTTTTTCCAGCTGAACATTTAAACAAACATCACATAAAGACAGGGCCAAATACAATAGGCACAATCCCTCTAGAACCTCTAAATTATCTCACAAGTTTGGTTCAAAGATTCACATCTCTGTAGTTTTAGTTTCTCAAATTATATAATGACCATTGAGAGACTTGCAACACATTCCTCAACAGCCAATGGGTTAAAATATAAACTAAAAAAAAAAAATCTTCAGATAAACAAAAATGGAAATACAACATACCAAAACATGGGATGTGGCAAAAGCAGTTCTAAGAAGGAAGTTTAAGATGATAAATGCCTACATTAAGAAAAAAGAAAGCTCTCAAATAAACAACCTATCTTTACATGACAGGAAACTAGAAAAACTAACCCTAAAATTAACAGAAGGCAGTATGGATGAGGGAAGAAATAAATGAAATAGACTAGAAAATACAAAAGATCCATAAAACTAAGAATTGGTTTTTTGGAAAGACAACGGACAAACCTTTAGCTAAAACTAAAAGAAAAACAAAATCATAAACAAATAAATAATAAAATTACAAATGAAAATACCTTTACAAATGATACTACAGAAACACAGAGACTGTAATGAACACTTATATGCCAACAAATTGGGTAACTTGGAAGAAATGGGTAGGTTCTTGGAAATATACAACCTACCAAGACTGAATCATGAAGAAATAAAAAATCTGAACAGAATAATTATGAGTAAGGAGTAAATCAGTATTCAAAAATCTCCCAACCAAGAAAATACCAGGACCGGATGCCTTCACAGGTGAATTCTACCAAACATTCAATGAAGTAACACCAATCTTTCTCAAACTCTTCCAGACAACTGAACTGTTGGGAACACTGTCAAACTCATTTCATGAGCCAGACAAATACAAGAGAAGAAAATTACAGACCAGGATCCCCGCTGTACAGATGTGAAAATCCTCAACAACATACTAGCAAATCAAATTCAACAGCACATTCAAAAGATTAGAAACTATGATCAACTGGGATTTATCTCTGGGCTGCAAGGATGGTTCAACATATGCAAATCAATAAATTGAGTACATTACATTAATCTAAAGATACAATAAAAGTCATCTCAATTGATGTAAAAAAAGCATTTGAGAAAATTCAACATCATTTTGTAATAAAAACTCCCAACAAAGTGGGTATATAAGGAATATACACCAACACAAAAGTCACATATGGCAAGCCAACAAACAACATCATACTCAACAGTGAAAGGTTCAAAGGCACTTATCTCTAAGATCAGGAACAAAACAATGGAATGATGGCAGCAAGGAATGATGCCCATTCTCACCACCTGCATTCAATATATTACTGGAAGTCCTAGCCAAAGTAATTAAACAAGAAAAAGAAATAAAAGGTATCCATATTGCCAAAAAGTAAAATGGTCTCTGTTTGCAGATGACATGATCTTATATATAGAAAACCATAAAGACCTCATCAAAAAACTGTAAGAATTAATAAATTCAGTACAGTTGCAGAATATAAAAATAACACAAAAATCAGTTGCATTTCTATATACTAACAACAAACTATACAGAAAAGAACTTAAGAAAACAATTCTATCAACAAGAGCATAAAAAAATTAAATAGAATAAATTTAACCAAGAAAGCAAAAGATCTAAATACTAAAAACTATAAAACATTATGCAAGTAATTGAAGGCGACACAATAAATGGAAAACTATCCTATTGTTTATGGATCAGAAGCAATAATACTGTTAAAATGTCCAAAGCAATCTACAGATTCAGAATTGAAATGATGTTTTTCATGGAAATAGAAAAAAACAATTCTAAAATTCACTCAGAACTACAAAAGATCACTAATAGCCAAAGCAATTTTGAACAAAATGAAAAATTTTGGAAGCAACAAGCTAATGGATTTCAAAATATACCACAAAGCAACAATAATCAAAACAGTATGGTACAGTCACAAACCCACATCTGGACCAATGGGGCAGAATAGAGAGCCCAGAAATAAATCCACACATTTATGGCCAATTCAACTTTGACAAAGGTGCCAAGAGCACACAGTGGAGAAAAGATAGCCTATTCAAGAAATTATGCCAGGAAATTGGTTTTCTACATGCAGAAGAATGACATGGAACCTTTATCTCACTCCTATATAAAAAACAACTAAAAATGGATTAAAGATTTAAATGTAAAAATTGAAACCATAAAACTATTAGAAGAAAACACAGGGAAGAAGTTTCTTGACACACCTGGATGATCTTTTAGATATGACCCCAAAAGCACAGGCAACAAAAGCAAATATAGGCAAATGGGATTGCATCAAACTAAAAAGCTTCTGTAGAGCAAAAAAGAACTTGAAAAGTTCAATACACAACTTATAGACTAGGGGAGAAGATATCTGCAAACCATATAACTGAAAAATATATAAGGAACTCAACTCCATATCAAGAAAACAAGTCCATTAAAAAATAAGGAAAGGGAGGATTAAAGATGGCAGCATGAGAGGTGAGAAAGAGGCTTCCTCCTAAAACCGCATATAATATGAAAATATAATTAATAAGACTAATCCTGAAAGAGCAACAGGAAACAGGGCTGCGCCAAACTGCATACACGTTGAGAAAAGTATAAACCTCCCGGAACAGGGTAATGTACCAAAGCCATGTCCAGCAGGACCCAAGCCCTTCCCTCATGCCAGCTCACCATCGGGAGGAAGAGAAATGAAGTGAGAATGAGTAGAAGCCGGGGACTGCTGAATACCTAACTCTGGAGATCTGCTCTAGGAGAACAAACCTACATTTCATGGTGCTTTCATGGTACTCTCATGATTAGGGGGTTGGAAAGCTAAGACAGGCAGAATACCTGGAGAGACATATTCCAGCCGCCAGTGGAAAGTAGGGATCCATGTATGGCTGCTCTGGTACAAAAGACAGGCGGGCAGTCTGAGGGACTTCCTAACACCAAGAGGGCTGTTAAAGGGGCAAGAATTGCACAGAGCTTACTACTCAAGAGAAAGGACAGGTAGACAAAATTGGGTACACTCTGCCCAGCAGGTTAGGAACTCTCTTGATCTTCAGGCACTCCAGCTCCCCAGCTGGCTACACGGCTTGAAGGACCCCCTCCATGATACACAGCCTACTATGCCTTTCTCTGAGCCAGCCTCACCTGGATCGTAAACTGGCAAACCCTACCCTGGCGTTAGGCCACCCAGAGGGAAGACCTGACTACAGCAACTACAAACGCAAAGCAGAGAGGCTTGTACCTGTGTGCTTGGCCCACTGATTCTGAGAGTGGAGGCAGGCATAGCATCCGGGAAGCAGAAAAGCAGCTTTTTCCACCCACCAGGCACCAATACCATTACCCTGAGAC